TGTGAGAGAGAGACACTGTGAGAGAGAGACACTGTGAGAGAGAGAGAGAGACACGGGAGAGAGAGAGACACGGGAGAGAGAGAGACACGGGGAGAGAGAGAGAGAGAGACACGGGAGAGAGAGACACGGGAGAGAGAGAGACACGGGAGAGAGAGAGACACGGGAGAGAGAGAGAGACAGACACTGTGAGAGAGAGAGAGAGACACGGGAGAGAGAGAGACACGGGAGAGAGAGAGACACGGGAGAGAGAGAGAGAGAGACACGGGAGAGAGAGAGACACGGGAGAGAGAGAGACACGGGAGAGAGAGAGACACGGGAGAGAGAGAGAGACAGACACTGTGAGAGAGAGAGAGACACGGGAGAGAGAGAGACACGGGAGAGAGAGACACGGGAGAGAGAGACACGGGAGAGAGGGAGAGAGACACGGGAGAGAGAGAGACACTGTGTGAGAGAGAGACACGGGAGAGAGAGAGAGAGACACAGTGAGAGAGAGAGAGACACGGGAGAGAGACAGACACTGTGAGAGAGAGAGAGAGAGAGACACGGGAGAGAGAGAGACACGGGAGAGAGAGAGACACGGGAGAGAGAGAGACACAGGGAGAGAGAGAGACACGGGAGAGAGAGAGACACGGGAGAGAGAGAGACACGGGAGAGAGAGAGACACGGGAGAGAGAGAGACACGGGAGAGAGAGAGACACGGGAGAGAGAGAGAGAGACGGGAGAGAGACACGGGAGAGAGAGAGACACGGGAGAGAGAGAGAGACACGGGAGAGAGACACGGGAGAGAGAGAGACACGGGGAGAGAGAGAGACACGGGAGAGAGAGAGAGACACGGGAGAGAGAGAGAGACACGGGAGAGAGACACGGGAGAGAGAGAGAGACACGGGGAGAGAGAGAGAGACACGGGAGAGAGAGAGACACGGGAGAGAGACACGGGAGAGAGAGACACGGGGAGACAGAGAGAGAGAGACACGGGAGAGAGAGAGACACTGTGTGAGAGAGAGAGACACGGGAGAGAGAGAGACACGGGAGAGAGAGAGACACGGGAGAGAGAGAGACAGACACTGTGAGAGAGAGACACAGGGAGAGAGAGAGACACGGGAGAGAGAGAGAGACACTGTGAGAGAGAGAGAGAGACACGGAGAGAGAGAGACACGGGAGAGAGAGAGACACGGGAGAGAGAGAGACACTGAGAGAGAGAGAGAGAGACTGTGAGAGAGAGAGAGACACGGGAGAGAGAGAGACACGGGAGAGAGAGAGACACGGGAGAGAGAGAGACACGGGAGAGAGAGAGAGAGACACGGGAGAGAGAGAGACACGGGAGAGAGAGAGAGACACGGGAGAGAGAGAGACACGGGAGAGAGAGAGAGAGACACGGGAGAGAGAGAGACACTGAGAGAGAGAGAGAGAGACTGTGAGAGAGAGAGAGACACGGGAGAGAGAGAGACACGGGAGAGAGAGAGACACGGGGAGAGAGAGACACGTGAGAGAGAGACAGACACTGTGAGAGAGAGAGAGAGACACGTGAGAGAGAGAGAGACCGGAGAGAGAGAGACGGGAGAGAGAGAGAGAGACACGTGAGAGAGAGAGACGGGAGAGAGAGAGAGACACTGTGAGAGAGAGAGAGAGACACTGTGAGAGAGAGACACGGGGAGAGGGAGAGACACGAGAGAGAGAGAGAGAGACACGAGAGAGAGAGAGAGAGACACTGTGAGAGAGAGAGAGACACGGGAGAGAGAGAGACAGACACTGTGAGAGAGAGAGAGACACTGTGAGAGAGAGAGAGACACGTGAGAGACACGGGAGAGAGAGAGAGACACGTGAGAGACACGGGAGAGAGAGAGACACGGGAGAGAGAGAGACACGGGAGAGAGAGAGACACGGGAGAGAGAGAGACACGGGAGAGAGAGAGACACGGGAGAGAGAGAGACACGGGAGAGAGAGAGACACGGGGAGAGAGAGAGAGAGAGACACGGGAGAGAGAGAGACACTGTGAGAGAGAGAGAGAGACACGGGAGAGAGAGAGACACTGTGAGAGAGAGAGAGAGAGACACGGGAGAGAGAGAGACACTGTGAGAGAGAGAGACACGGGAGAGAGACACGGGAGAGAGAGAGACACGGGAGAGAGAGAGACACGGGGGAGAGAGAGACACGGGAGAGAGAGAGACACGGGAGAGAGACACGGGAGAGAGAGAGAGACACGGGAGAGAGACACGGGAGAGAGAGAGAGACACTGTGTGAGAGAGAGAGAGACACGGGAGAGAGAGACACGGGAGAGAGAGAGACACTGTGTGAGAGAGAGAGAGACATTGGAGAGAGAGAGACACGGGAGAGAGAGAGACACTGTGAGAGAGAGAGAGAGAGACACGGGAGAGAGAGAGAGAGAGAGACACAGGGAGAGAGAGACACTGTGAGAGAGAGACACGAGAGAGAGAGAGAGACACGAGAGAGAGAGACACGAGAGGGAGAGAGAGAGACACGGGAGAGAGAGACACGGGAGAGAGAGAGACACGAGAGGGAGAGAGAGAGACACGGGAGAGAGAGAGACACGGGAGCGAGAGAGACACGGGGGGTGCTGTTCGTGCTGCAGGTTGTGGCTCGCCGCGTCGACCTCAAGCTGATCGTCACCTCGGCCACGATGGATGCGGGAAAGTTTGCGGCGTTCTTCGGCAATGTGCCCGTGTTCCACATCCCCGGTCGAACCTTCCCCGTTGACATCTTCTTCAGCAAGGTGCTCACCACCCACCACTCCTCACCACTCGCTCCCTCACCGCTCGCTCACCCCGTCCTGGTGGCGGGGGTGGGGGTGAGTGGGAGTGGGTGGGTGGGTGGGTGAGTGGGTGGGTGGGTGGTTGAGTGGGTGGGTGGGTGAGTGAGTGGGTGAGTGGGTGGGTGGGTGAGTGGGTGGGTGGGTGAGTGGGTGGGTGGGTGAGTGGTTGTAGGGAGTGAGTGAGTGGGTGGGTGGGTGGGTGAGTGAGTGGGTGAGTTAGTGAGTGGGTGGGTGGGTGGGTGAGTGGTTGTAGGGAGTGAGTGAGTGGGTGGGTGGGTGGGTGAGTTAGTGAGTGGGTGGGTGGGTGAGTGAGTGGGTGGGTGGATGAGTGGGTGGGTGAGTGGGTGGGTGAGTGGGTGAGTGGGTGTGGGAGTGGGTGGGTGAGTGGGTGAGTGAGTGGGTGAGTGGGTGGGTGAGTGGGTGGGTGGGTGAGTGGGTGAGTGAGTGGGTGGGTGAGTTAGTGAGTGGGTGGGTGGGTGAGTGAGTGAGTGGGTGGATGAGTGGGTGGGTGAGTGAGTGAGTGGGTGGGTGAGTGGGTGAGTGGGTGGGTGAGTGGGTGAGTGGGTGAGTGGGTGGGTGAGTGGGTGAGTGAGTGGGTGGGTGAGTGGGTGAGTGGGTGGGTGGGTGAGTGGTTGTAGGGAGTGAGTGAGTGGGTGGGTGGGTGAGTGAGTGAGTGGGTGAATGAGTGGGTGAGTGGGTGGGTGAGTGAGTGAGTGGGTGAGTGAGTGGGTGGGTGAGTGGGTGAGTCAGTGGGTGGGTGGGTGACTGGGTGGGTGAGTGAGTGGGTGAGTCAGTGGGTGGGTGGGTGAGTGGGTGGGTGAGTGAGTGGTTGTAGGGAGTGAGTGGGTGGGTGAGTGAGTGAGTGGGTGGGTGAGTGGGTGGGTGAGTGGGTGGGTGGGTGAGTGGGAGGGTGAGTGGGTGGGTGGGTGGGTAAGTGAGTGGTTGTAGTGAGTGAGTGGTTGTAGTGAGTGAGTGGTTGTAGTGAGTGGGTGGTTGTAGTGAGTGGGTGGTTGTAGTGAGTGGGTGAGTGAGTGAGTGAGTGGATGGGTGGATGAGTGGGTCAGTGAGTGGGTGGGTGGGTGGGTGAGTGGGTGGGTGGGTGGGTTAGTGGGTGGGTGGGTGAGTGGGTGAGTGGGTGAGTGGGTGGGTGGGTGGGTGAGTGAGTGGGTGGGTGAGTAGGTGGTGGTGGTGGTGGTGTAGGGCTGAGCGCTGCGCGTGTGTGTGTGAGTGAGTAGGCCGTGGTGGAGGACTACGTGGAGGGTGCGGTGAAGCAGGCGCTACAGATCCATCTCTCTCCGTCTCCGGGTGACATACTCATCTTCATGCCGGGACAGGAAGACATTGAGGTACTCGGACAGCTCCCCGTGTCTCTCCCCGTGTCTCTCCCCGTGTCTCTCCCCGTGTCTCTCCCCGTGTCTCTCCCCGTGTCTCTCCCCGTGTCTCTCCCCGTGTCTCTCCCCGTGTCTCTCCCAGTGTCTCTCCCCGTGTCTCTCCCCGTGTCTCTCCCCGTGTCTCTCCCCGTGTCTCTCCCAGTGTCTCTCCCCGTGTCTCTCCCAGTGTCTCTCCCCGTGTCTCTCCCCGTGTCTCTCCCCGTGTCTCTCCCCGTGTCTCTCCCAGTGTCTCTCCCAGTGTCTCTCCCCGTGTCTCTCCCCGTGTCTCTCCAGTGTCTCTCCCCGTGTCTCTCCCCGTGTCTCTCCCAGTGTGTCTCCCCATGTCTCTCCCCGTGTCTCTCCCCGTGTCTCTCCCCGTGTCTCTCCCCGTGTCTCTCCCAGTGCCTACCCGTGTCTGTCCCCGTGTCTCTCCCCGTGTCTCTCCCCGTGTCTCTCCCCGTGTCTCTCCCCGTGTCTCTCCCCGTGTCTCTCCCAGTGTCTCTCCCCGTGTCTCTCCCCGTGTCTCTCCCCGTGTCTCTCCCCGTATCTCTCCCCGTATCTCTCCCCGTGTCTCTCCCCGTGTCTCTCCCCGTGTCTCTCCCAGTGTCTCTCCCCGTGTCTCTCCCAGTGTCTCTCCCAGTGTGTCTCCCCGTGTCTCTCCCCGTGTCTCTCCCCGTGTCTCTCCCCGTGTCTCTCCCAGTGTCTCTCCCAGTGTCTCTCCCAGTGTCTCTCCCCGTGTCTCTCCCCGTGTCTCTCCCCGTGTCTCTCCCAGTGTCTCTTCCAGTGTCTCTCCCAGTGTATCTCCCCGTGTCGCTCCCAGTGTCTCTCCCCGTGTCTCTCTCCGTGTCTCTCCCCGTGTCTCTCCCCGTGTCTCTCTCCGTGTCTCTCTCCGTGTCTCTCCCCGTGTCTCCCCGTGTCTCTCCCCGTGTCTCTCCCCGTGTCTCTCCCCGTGTCTCTCCCCGTGTCTCTCCCCGTGTCTCTCCCAGTGTCTCTCCCCGTGTCTCTCCCAGTGTCTCTCCCAGTGTCTCTCCCCGTGTCTCTCCCCGTGTCTCTACCCGTGTCTCTCCCCGTGTCTCTCCCCGTGTCTCTTCCCGTGTCTCTCCCCGTGTCTCTCCCCGTGTCTCTCCCAGTGTCTCTCCCCGTGTCTCTCCCCGTGTCTCTCCCCGTGTCTCTCCCCGTGTCTCTCCCCGTGTCTCTCCCCGTGTCTCTCCCAGTGTCTCTCCCCGTGTCTCTCCCCGTGTCTCTCCCAGTGTCTCTCCCCGTGTCTCTCCCAGTGTCTCTCCCCGTGTCTCTCCCAGTGTCTCTCCCCGTGTCTCTCCCCGTGTCTCTCCCCGTATCTCTCCCCGTGTCTCTCCCAGTGTCTCTCCCCGTGTCTCTCCCCGTGTCTCTCCCAGTGTCTCTCCCAGTGTCTCTCCCAGTGTCTCTCCCCGTGTCTCTCCCCGTGTCTCTCCCCGTGTCTCCCCGTGTCACCCCGTGTGGGTGAGTCGGTGACCGAGTGAGTTGGTAAGCGTGTGGGCGGGTCGGTGAGCGAGCGGGCGAGTTGGCAAGTTGAGCGGTTGAGCGAGTGGGTGAGCGAGCGGGTGAGCGAGCGGGTGAGCGAGCGGGCGAGTGAGCGAGTGAATTGGCGGGTGAGCGGGTGAGCGGGTGAGCGGGTGAGCGAGCGGGTGAGCGAGCGGGTGAGCGAGCTGGTGAGCGAGCGGGTGAGCGAGCGGGTGTGTGCGTGTCCAGGTGACGTGCGACCAGATTGTGGAGCGCCTGGCGGAGCTGGAGAATGGCCCCCCACTCGCTGTGCTCCCCATTTACTCTCAGCTGCCCTCGGACCTGCAGGCCAAGATCTTCCAGAAGGTCCCCCCCCTCACCTACACACTCACTCACTCACCTACTCACTCACCCGCTCACTCACCTACTCACTCACTCACCTACTCACTCACCCGCTCACTCACCTACACACTCACGCACCTACTCACTCACTCACCTACTCACTCACCTACTCACTCACCCGCTCACTCACCTACTTACGCACCTACACACTCACCTACTCACTCACCCGCTCACTCACCTACACACTCACTCACCTACACACTCACCTACCCACTCACTCACTCACCTACTCACTCACCTACACACTCACTCACCTACACACTCACTCACTCACCTACACACTCACTCACCTACTTACCCACTCACTCACTCACTCACCTACTCACTCACCTACACACTCACTCACCCGCTCACTCACCTACTTACTCACTCACCTACACACTCACCTACTCACCCGCTCACTCACCTACTTACTCACCTACACACTCACTCACCTACTCACTCACCTACTCACTCACCTTCTCACTCACCCGCTCACTCACCTACTTACTCACTCACCTACACACTCACTCACCTACTCACTCACCTGCTCACTCACCCGCTCAATCACTCACCCGCTCACTCACCCGCTCACTCACCTACTTACTCACCTACACACTCACCTACTCACTCACCTACTCACTCACCTACTCACTCAACCGCTCACTGACCTACTTACTCACTCACCTACACACTCACTCACTCACCTACTCACTCACCTACTCACTCACCTTCTCACTCACCCGCTCACTCACCTACTTACTCACTCACCTACACACTCACTCACCTACTCACTCACCTGCTCACTCACACGCTCAATCACTCACCCGCTCACTCACCCGCTCACTCACCTACTTACTCACCTACACACTCACCTACTCACTCACCTACTCACTCAACCGCTCACTGACCTACTTACTCACTCACCTACACACTCACTCACTCACCTACTCACTCACCCGCTCACTCACTCACCTGCTCACTCACCTACACACTCACTCACCTGCTCACTCACGTACTTACTCACTCACCCGCTCACTCACTCAGCATGTCACCCGGAGACGGAGAGAGATGGATCTGTAGCGCCTGCTTCACCGCACCCTCCACGTAGTCCTCCACCACGGCCTACTCACTCACACACACACGCAGCGCTCAGACCTACACCACCACCACCACCTACTCACTCACCTGCTCACTCACTCACCTACTCACTCACCCGCTCACTCACCTACTCACTCACTCACCTACTTACTCACCCGCTCACTCACTCACCCGCTCACTCACTCATCCGCTCACTCACCTACTTACTCACTCACCTACTCACTCACTCACCTACTTACTCACCCGCTCACTCACTCACCTCCTCACTCACCTACTTACTCACCTACACACTCACTCACCTACTCACTCACCCACTCACTCACCTACTTACTCACTCACCTACACACTATCACTCACCCACTCACTCACCCACTCACTCACCTACTTTACTCACCTACCCACTCAATCACTCACCTACTCACTCACCCGCTCACTCACCTACTCACTCACTCACTCACCTACTCACTCACCCCCCCATGCCCCCACCTCCCCCCATGCCCCCACCCCTCCCCGTGCCCCCCCCGTGCCCCCCCTCTCCCCGTGCCCCCCCCCCCCCCCGTGCCCCCCCCCCCCCCCCAGGCTCCAGGCGGGGTGCGCAAGTGCATCGTGGCCACAAACATTGCGGAGACGTCGCTCACCGTGGACGGCATCATGTACGTGGTGGACGCTGCCTACTGCAAGCTCAAGGTGTGTGTGTGTGTGTGTGTCACTCACCACCACGCTCACCACCACCACCACACTCACCACCACCACGCTCACCACCACACTCACCGTGGACGGCATCATGTACGTGGTGGACGCTGCCTACTGCAAGCTCAAGATGTGTGTGTGTGTGTGTGTCACTCACCACCACACTCACCACCACACTCACCACCACCACACTCACCACCACGCTCACCACCACCACCACGCTCACCACCACCACCACCACGCTCACCGTGGACGGCATCATGTACGTGGTGGACGCTGCCTACTGCAAGCTCAAGGTGTGTGTGTGTGTGTCACTCACCACCACGCTCACCACCACCACCACCACGCTCACCACCACCACGCTCACCACCACCACCACCACCACACTCACCGTGGACGGCATCATGTGCGTAGTGGACGCTGCCTACTGCAAGCTCAAGGTGTGTGTGTGTGTGTGTGTCACTCACCACCACGCTCACCACCACCACCACACTCACCACCACGCTCACCACCACCACCACCACACTCACCACCACACTCACCACCACTCTCACCACCACTCTCACCACCACGCTCACCACCACCATCACCACGCTCACCACCACGCTCACCACCACCACCACGCTCACCACCACCACCACCACGTGTGTATAGGAGCAGACTCGCAGCACTTGCCCCAGCAGCCTGTGATACGTGGTACATGCGGGTGTGGTGTGTGTGTGTGGTGAGTGCGTGTGGTGAGTGCGTGTGGTGAGTGCGTGTGGTGTGTGCGTGTGGTGAGTGCGTGTGGTGTGTGCGTGTGGTGTGTGTGTGGTGTGTGCGTGTGGTGAGTGCGTGTGGTGAGTGTGAGTGCGTGTGGTGTGTGTGTGTGGTGAGTGCGTGTGGTGTGTGCGTGTGGTGTGTGCGTGTGGTGAGTGCGTGTGGTGAGTGCGTGTGGTGTGTGCGTGTGGTGTGTGTGTGGTGTGTGCGTGTGGTGTGTGTATGTGTGTGTGCGTAGTGTGGTGTGTGCGTGTGTGTGTGCGTAGTGTGGTGTGTGCGTGTGGTGAGTGTGTGTGGTGTGTGCGTGTGGTGTGTGTGTGGTGTGTGCGTGTGGTGTGTGTATGTGTGTGTGCGTAGTGTGGTGTGTGCGTGTGGTGAGTGCGTGTGGTGTGTGCGTAGTGTGGTGTGTGCGTGTGGTGAGTGCGTGTGGTGTGTGGTGTGTTCGTGTGGTGTGTGCGTGTGGTGTGTGTGTGGTGTGTGCGTGTGGTGTGTGTATGTGTGTGTGCGTAGTGTGGTGTGTGCGTGTGGTGAGTGCGTGTGGTGTGTGCGTGTGGTGTGCGTATGTAGGGAGTGGTGGGTGTAGTGGTTAGCGCTTCGCTGCGCTATGAACCTGGCGACCCGGGTTCGATTCCCGCTCACGGCCAACACCAGTGACGATTATCTGAACCGGGTCCCGGGCCTCCCCTAGGTCGACTCAGCCTCAAATGAGTACCTGGTGCGGTGTGTAGTAAACATCACCACTGGGGGAGAGACAAAGGCGGCCGGGCGTGGTGCTGGCCACCCACCCCCTCGTGTGCCGTTACCGGCCTTCATAGGTGCTGCTCGCTAACAGCACTTGCCCCTACAGTCCGCTGAGGCTACACGGGGGGATCTTTGTCTTTTGTGTGCGCGTGTGTGCACATAGGTCTTCAACCCGCGTGTGGGCATGGACACGCTGCAGATATACCCCATCAGCCAGGCCAACGCCAACCAACGTGCCGGGCGAGCGGGCCGCACCGGGCCCGGACAGTGCTTCCGGTGGGACGCTCACCCGCTCGCTCACCCGCTCGCTCACCCGCACGCTGACACGCTCGCTCACCCGCTCGCTGACACGCTCGCTAACCCGCTCGCTCACACGCTCGCTCACCCGCACGCTGACACGCTCGATCACACGCTCGCTCACACGCTCGCTCACACGATCGCTCACACGCTCGCTGACACGCTCGCTCACACGCACGCTCACACGCTCGCTCACACGCTCGCTCACACGCACGCTCACACGCACGCTGACACGCTCGCTCACCCGCACGCTGACACGCTCGCTGACACGCTCGCTGACACGCACGCTGACACGCACGCTCACCCGCACGCTCGCACGTACGCTCACCCGCTCGCTCATACGCACGCTCGTTCACTCACTCACCCGCTCACCCGCATGCTTGCTCACCCGCACGCTCACCCGCTCACTCACTCGCTCACCCGCACGCTCACCCGCTCGCTCCCCGTTTGTCCGTGTGTGTGTCCCTAAGTGTCCGTGCGTGTGTCTGTGCGTGTGTCTGCGTGCAGCCTGTACACCCAGAGCTCGTACAAGAACGAGATGCTCAACCAGCCACTCACTCACTCACCCACTCACCCACTCACTCACCCACCCACTCACTCACTCACCCACTCACTCACCCACTCACTCACCCACCCATTCACTCACCCACCCACCCACTCACCCACCCACTCACCCACTCACTCACCCACTCACCCACTCACCCACTCACTCACCCACCCACTCACCCACTCACCCACTCACCAGTGTCCGTGTGTGTCCCTGTGTGTCTGTGCGTGTGTCTGCGTGCAGCCTGTACACCCAGAGCTCGTACAAGAACGGGATGCTCACCCACCCACTCACCCACCCACTCACTCACCCACTCACCCACCCACTCACTCACCCACTCACTCACCCACTCACTCACTCACTCACCCACTCGCCCACTCACTCACTCACCCACTCGCCCACTCACCGACTCACCCACCCACTCACTCACCCACTCACTCACCCACTCACTCACCCACTCACTCACCCACCCACTCACTCACCCACTCACTCACCCACTCACTCACCCACCCACTCACTCACCCACTCACTCACACACCCACCCACTCACCAGTATCCGTGCGTGTCCGTGCGTGTCCGTGCGTGTGTCTGTGCGTGTGTCCGCGTGCAGCCTGTACACCCAGAGCTCGTACAAGAACGGGATGCTCACCCACCCACTCACCCACTCACCCACCCACTCACTCACACACCCACTCACTCACTCACCCACCCACTCACTCACTCACTCACCCACCCACTCACTCACTCACCCACTCACTCACTCACCCACTCACCCACCCACTCACCCACCCACCCACTCACTCACTCACACACCCACACACTCACCAGTATCCGTGCGTGTCCGTGCGTGTGTCCGCGTGCAGCCTGTACACCCAGAGCTCGTACAAGAACGAGATGCTCACCCACCCACTCACTCACTCACCCACTCACTCACCCACCCACCCACTCACTCACCCACTCACTCACTCACCCACTCACTCACTCACCCACTCACTCACTCACCCACTCACTCACCCACTCACCCACCCACTCACCCACTCACCAGTGTCCCTGCGTCTCCCTGCGTCTCCGTGCGTCTCCGTGCGTGTCTGTGCGTGTGTCTGTGCGCGTGTCCGCGTGCAGCCTGTACACCCAGAGCTCGTACAAGAACGAGATGCTCACCCACCCACTCACCCACTCACTCACTCACTCACCCACTCACTCACTCACCCACTCACTCACTCACCCACTCACTCACCCACTCACTCACCCACCCACTCACTCACTCACTCACCCACTCACTCACCCACCCACTCACTCACCCACTCACTCACTCACCCACCCACTCACCCACCCACTCATTCACCCACCCACTCACTCACTCACTCACCCACCCACTCACTCACCCACTCACTCACTCACCCACTCACCCACCCACTCACCCACCCACCCACTCACTCACTCACTCACACACCCACACACTCACCAGTATCCGTGCGTGTCCGTGCGTGTGTCAGCGTGCAGCCTGTACACCCAGAGCTCGTACAAGAACGAGATGCTCACCCACCCACTCACTCACTCACCCACTCACTCACCCACCCACCCACTCACTCACCCACCCACTCACTCACCCACTCACTCACTCACTCACCCACCCACTCACCCACACACCCACCCACTCACCAGTGTCCCTGCGTGTCCCTGTGTGTCCGTGTGTGTCCGTGCGTGTGTCCGCGTGCAGCCTGTACACCCAGAGCTCGTTCAAGAACGAGATGCTCACCCACGCACTCACCCACTCACCCACCCACTCACTCACCCACTCACCCACACACTCACTCACTCACTCACCCACTCACCCACCCACTCACCCACCCACTCACCCACTCACCCACGCACTCACCCACTCACCCACTCACTCACTTACCCACCCACTCACCCACCCACTCACTCACCCGACTCACTCACACACCCACCCACTCACCCACCCACTCACCAGTGTCCGTGCGTGTCCGTGCCTGTCCGTGCGTGTCCTTGTGTGTCCCTGTGTGTCTGCTTGCAGCCTGTACACCCAGAGCTCGTACAAGAACGAGATGCTCACCCACCCACTCACCCACTCACTCACTCACCCACCCACCCACTCACCCACTCACTCACTCACTCACACACCCACCCACTCCCCAGTGTCCCTGTGTGTCCCTGCGTGTCCGTGCGCGTGTCCGCGTGCAGCCTGTACACCCAGAACTCGTACAAGAACGAGATGCTCACCCACCCACTCATCTACTCACCCACCCACTCACTCATTCACCCACCCACCCACTCACTCACCCACTCACTCACCCACTCACTCACCCACTCACCCACTCACTCACCCACCCACTCACCCACCCACTCACCCACCCACCCACCCACTCACCCACCCACTCACTCACTCACTCACCCACTCACTCACTCACCCACTCACTCACTCACCCACCCACTCACTCACTCACCCACTCACCCACTCACTCACCCACCCACTCACCCACCCACTCACCCACTCACTCACCCACTCACCCACTCACTCACACACCCACCTACTCACCAGTATCCGTGCGTGTCCGTACGTGTGTCTGCGTGTGTCCGCGTGCAACCTGTACACCTAGAGCTCGTACAAGAACGGGATGCTCACCCACCCACTCATCTACTCACTCACCCACTCACTCACTCACTCACCCATTCACTCACCCACCCACTCACCCACCCACTCACCCAAACACCCACTCACCAGTATCCGTGCGTGTCCGTGCGTGTGTCCGCGTGCAGCCTGTACACACAGAGCTCGTACAAGAACGAGATGCTCACCCACCCACTCATCTACTCACCCACTCACTCACTCACCCACTCACCCACTCACCCACTCACTCACTCACCCACTCACTCACCCACTCACCCACTCACTCACCCACTCACTCACCCACTCACTCACCCACCCACTCACCCACCCACTCACCCACTCACTCACCCACCCACTCACCCACTCACTCACCCACTCACCCACCCACCCACTCACCAGTATCCGTGCGTGTCCGTGCGTGTGTCCGCGTGCAGCCTGTACACCCAGAGCTCGTACAAGAACGAGATGCTCACCCACCCACTCACTCACTCACCCACTCACTCACCCACCCACCCACTCACTCACCCACTCACTCACTCACCCACTCACTCACTCACTCACCCACCCACTCACCCACACACCCACCCACTCACCAGTGTCCCTGCGTGTCCCTGTGTGTCCGTGTGTGTCCGTGCGTGTGTCCGCGTGCAGCCTGTACACCCAGAGCTCGTACAAGAACGAGATGCTCACCCACGCACTCACCCACTCACCCACCCACTCACTCACCCACTCACTCACTCACCCACTCACTCACTCACTCACCCACCCACTCACCCACACACCCACCCACTCACCAGTGTCCCTGCGTGTCCCTGTGTGTCCGTGTGTGTCCGTGCGTGTGTCCGCGTGCAGCCTGTACACCCAGAGCTCGTACAAGAACGAGATGCTCACCCACGCACTCACCCACTCACCCACCCACTCACTCACCCACTCACCCACACACTCACTCACTCACTCACCCACTCACCCACCCACTCACCCACTCACTCACCCACTCACCCACGCACTCACCCACTCACCCACTCACTCACTTACCCACCCACACACCCACCCACTCACTCACCCGACTCAATCACACACCCACCCACTCACCCACCCACTCACCAGTGTCCGTGCGTGTCCGTGCCTGTCCGTGCGTGTCCTTGTGTGTCCCTGTGTGTCTGCTTGCAGCCTGTACACCCAGAGCTCGTACAAGAACGAGATGCTCACCCACCCACTCACCCACTCACTCACTCACCCACCCACACACTCACCCACTCACTCACTCACTCACACACCCACCCACTCACCAGTGTCCCTGTGTGTCCCTGCGTGTCCGTGCGCGTGTCCGCGTGCAGCCTGTACACCCAGAACTCGTACAAGAACGAGATGCTCACCCACCCACTCATCTACTCACCCACCCACTCACTCATTCACCCACCCACCCACTCACTCACCCACTCACTCACCCACTCACTCACCCACTCACTCACCCACCCACTCACCCACCCACTCACCCACCCACCCACCCACTCACCCACCCACTCACTCACTCACTCACCCACTCACTCACTCACCCACTCACTCACTCACCCACCCACTCACTCACTCACCCACTCACCCACTCACTCACCCACCCACTCACCCACCCACTCACCCACTCACTCACCCACTCACCCACTCACTCACACACCCACCTACTCACCAGTATCCGTGCGTGTCCGTACGTGTGTCTGCGTGTGTCCGCGTGCAACCTGTACACCTAGAGCTCGTACAAGAACGGGATGCTCACCCACCCACTCATCTACTCACTCACCCACTCACTCACTCACTCACCCATTCACTCACCCACCCACTCACCCACTCACTCACCCACCCACCCACTCACCAGTATCCGTGCGTGTCCGTGCGTGTGTCCGCGTGCAGCCTGTACACACAGAGCTCGTACAAGAACGAGATGCTCACCCACCCACTCATCTACTCACCCACTCACTCACTCACCCACTCACCCACTCACCCACTCACTCACTCACCCACTCACTCACCCACTCACCCACTCACTCACCCACTCACTCACCCACTCACTCACCCACCCACTCACCCACCCACTCACCCACTCACTCACCCACCCACTCACCCACTCACTCACCCACTCACCCACCCACCCACTCACCAGTATCCGTGCGTGTCCGTGCGTGTGTCCGCGTGCAGCCTGTACACCCAGAGCTCGTACAAGAACGAGATGCTCACCCACACACTCACTCACTCACCCACTCACTCACCCACCCACCCACTCACACACCCACTCACTCACTCACCCACTCACTCACTCACTCACCCACCCACTCACCCACACACCCACCCACTCACCAGTGTCCCTGCGTGTCCCTGTGTGTCCGTGTGTGTCCGTGCGTGTGTCCGCGTGCAGCCTGTACACCCAGAGCTCGTACAAGAACGAGATGCTCACCCACGCACTCACCCACTCACCCACCCACTCACTCACCCACTCACTCACTCACCCACTCACTCACTCACTCACCCACCCACTCACCCACACACCCACCCACTCACCAGTGTCCCTGCGTGTCCCTGTGTGTCCGTGTGTGTCCGTGCGTGTGTCCGCGTGCAGCCTGTACACCCAGAGCTCGTACAAGAACGAGATGCTCACCCACGCACTCACCCACTCACCCACCCACTCACTCACCCACTCACCCACACACTCACTCACTCACTCACCCACTCACCCACCCACTCACCCACCCACTCACCCACTCACCCACGCACTCACCCACTCACCCACTCACTCACTTACCCACCCACTCACCCACCCACTCACTCACCCGACTCAATCACACACCCACCCACTCACCCACCCACTCACCAGTGTCCGTGCGTGTCCGTGCCTGTCCGTGCGTGTCCTTGTGTGTCCCTGTGTGTCTGCTTGCAGCCTGTACACCCAGAGCTCGTACAAGAACGAGATGCTCACCCACCCACTCACCCACTCACTCACTCACCCACCCACCCACTCACCCACTCACTCACTCACTCACACACCCACCCACTCACCAGTGTCCCTGTGTGTCCCTGCGTGTCCGTGCGCGTGTCCGCGTGCAGCCTGTACACCCAGAACTCGTACAAGAACGAGATGCTCACCCACCCACTCATCTACTCACCCACCCACTCACTCATTCACCCACCCACCCACTCACTCACCCACTCACTCACCCACTCACTCACCCACTCACTCACCCACCCACTCACCCACCCACCCACCCACTCACCCACCCACTCACTCACTCACTCACCCACTCACTCACTCACCCACTCACTCACTCACCCACCCACTCACTCACTCACCCACTCACCCACTCACTCACCCACCCACTCACCCACCCACTCACCCACTCACTCACCCACACACCCACACACTCACACACCCACCTACTCACCAGTATCCGTGCGTGTCCGTACGTGTGTCTGCGTGTGTCCGCGTGCAACCTGTACACCTAGAGCTCGTACAAGAACGGGATGCTCACCCACCCACTCATCTACTCACTCACCCACTCACTCACTCACTCACCCATTCACTCACCCACCCACTCACCCACCCACTCACCCCCCCACCCACTCACCAGTATCCGTGCGTGTCCGTGCGTGTGTCCGCGTGCAGCCTGTACACACAGAGCTCGTACAAGAACGAGATGCTCACCCACCCACTCATCTACTCACCCACTCACTCACTCACCCACTCACCCACTCACCCACTCACTCACTCACCCACTCACTCACCCACTCACCCACTCACTCACCCACTCACTCACCCACTCACTCACCCACCCACTCACCCACCCACTCACCCACTCACTCACCCCACCCACTCACCCACTCACTCACCCACTCACCCACCCACCCACTCACCAGTATCCGTGCGTGTCCGTGCGTGTGTCCGCGTGCAGCCTGTACACCCAGAGCTCGTACAAGAACGAGATGCTCACCCACCCACTCACTCACTCACCCACACACTCACCCACCCACCCACTCACTCACCCACTCACTCACTCACCCACTCACTCACTCACTCACCCACCCACTCACCCACACACCCACCCACTCACCAGTGTCCCTGCGTGTCCCTGTGTGTCCGTGTGTGTCCGTGCGTGTGTCCGCGTGCAGCCTGTACACCCAGAGCTCGTACAAGAACGAGATGCTCACCCACGCACTCACCCACTCACCCACCCACTCACTCACCCACTCACCCACACACTCACTCACTCACTCACCCACTCACCCACCCACTCACCCACCCACACACCCACCCACCCACGCACTCACCCACTCACCCACTCACTCACTTACCCACCCACTCACCCACCCACTCACTCACCCGACTCAATCACACACCCACCCACCCACCCACTCACCCACACACCCACCCACTCACCAGTGTCCCTGCGTGTCCGTGCGTGTCCCTGCGTGTCCGTGCGTGTGTCCCTGTGTGTCCGCGTGCAGCCTGTACACCCAGAGCTCGTACAAGAACGAGATGCTCACCCACCCACTCACTCACTCACCCACTCACTCACCCACCCACCCACCCACTCACCCACTCACTCACCCACTCACTCACCCACCCACTCACTCACACACCCACACACTCACCAGTATCCGTGCGTGTCCGTGCGTGTGTCCGTGCGTGTGTCTGCGTGTGTCCGCGTGCAGCCTGTACACCCAGAGCTCGTACAAGAACGAGATGCTCA